TTGAGTCTCTGTTCGGCCCTCGGGGGAACATTTTTAACATCTGTAATGACTTTCTCCACCCAGATAACACCTGTATTCAGCTGGCGGGGCTCCCACGAGTCCTAGCTGTTGTGAATGAAGGACAAAGGCGACCTTGTTATATTAGGGTGTGTGCCCAAGGGGGGATGCTAGGGACTGAATTACGTCCCTCCACCGAAATCCTTATGTTGAAGTCCTAGCTGCAATGGGACTTGTTTGGAGATAGAACCTTTACAGAAGGAATTGAGGTTAAATGAGGTCATAAGGGTAGGGTCCTGATCCTATAGGATTCATGGCCTTATAGGAAGAGACACCAGAGAGCTTGCTTATTCTCAGCCACATGAGTACAGAACAAGAAGGAGGCCATCTGCAAGCCAAGAAGCAGTCTCTCATCACAATCTGACCATGCAGGCACCCTGTTTTCAGATGCCAGCCTCCAGAATGTAGGAAAATAAATATCTATCGTTTAGGCCACCCAGTCCATGGTATTCTGTGTTGGCAGCCCGAGCTGACTGAGACAGAGGGGAGGGAAAGCATTGCACCCAGCCCACCCAGTCTCCCATCCCTGTCCCTGCCCATTACTGATGCATTCACATTTCTCTCTCTGCTGCGCCCCCACCCCTGGGGACTCTGAAAACGGGACTGGGGGCAGGAATGTCTTCTCTCAGACATGTGTATCTGCACTCAATCTCCTTCCTCCCAGTGAGGCCTCCTAGCTTCTCCTTTCTCTGCTGCAGCCCAGATGGTCCCCATGTACCGCTAAATTTGACTGCAATGGAAGAGAGCCTTGGGTCGTATTCTGGCCACCTTTGAATTAGATCGACTGTGTGTCTCGGGCTCTCAGCCAGCTTAGCTCAGATATAAACTCACTCACCAAAGCTGAGGCCTCTGATGGCCTTGGTTTAAGATTTAAAAGTTCTCCTACTCTTGCAGGTTCCGAGCCTGCTCCAAGCCTCAATGATTGAATTATTAATGATGTAGCCTCTTGCCCTCCTTCTTGTGGACTCCGGGTCTGCCTCCACAACTTCAGGTCACACAGACCCTTACAACGAGGCTCACATGTAATTCACAAACTGAAACGAGCTAAAACTTAGGAGGCAAGAGGAGTTGACAGGAAGATTTCTAGTTTTTGCTGTCCATCTTGAGCAAGCATGTCATCAATGCCCCCTAGGTATGTTCCAAGATGCACAGTGTCTTTTTGAAGTGGCCATGAGCAGGAAGAAGGTCAAGCTCAAGAAGCGGAGTGACAAGAGAGGACTGCCCCCTAAATTGGTGCTCCCCAGGCTTTTCTTCTGTGACCTACAATAAAAGACACATCACCACCCAGCTGTATGTGCATACGCATGTGCGTGCCCATGCACACGCAAATGCACACACACACACACATTGGAAACAACTGTTTCACTGTCTGGATGCACTCTAATATTATCTAGTCTAATCTACTCTATTTCATGAAAACTTTTGGTGGGAAAGTAAATTGACATGATGGTTAATTTCATGTGACAACTTGACTGGGCTAAGAAATGCCCAGAGAACTGGGGAGACATTATTTCTGGCTGGGTCTGTAAGAGCGTCTCTGGCACCGATTAGTATTTGAACGGGTAAACTGAGTAAAGAAGGCGGCCCCTCACAAACATGGGTGGGCATCCCCCAAAGGCCTAAATAGGATGAAAAAGCAGACGAAGGATAAATTCTCTCTCTCTCTCTGCTTGAGCAGGCACATCCATCTCCTGCTCTTGGACATTGGTGCATATGGTTCTGGGCCTTTTTGTGCTCAGACTGGGACTTCCACCATTGGCTCCCTGATTCACGTGTCTTCGGACTGAGACTGAATTGTATAACCACTTTCCTGGCTTTCTAGCTTGCAGACAGTGGATTGTGAGGCTTCTCAGCCATATCTACATGAGCCAATTTCTTTTTTTTTTTTTTTAAGACTTTATTTATTTATTTGACAGAGAGAGACACAGCGAGAGAGGGAACACAAGCAGGGGGAGTGGGAGAGGGAGAAGCAGACTCCCCGCGAAGCAGGGAGCCCGATGCGGGGCTCGATCCCTGGACCCTGGGATCGTGACCTGAGCCGAAGGCAGATGCTTAACCAGCTGAGCCACCCAGGGGCCGCCACACGAGCCAATTTCTATAATAAGTCTCTCTCTAAATATATGTATATATATATATATATATATATATATGTATATGTATACCCTATTGGTTCTGTTTCTCTGGAAAAAACGAATACAATTGATTTGATTCATAGACAGTGGCATTTGTTAGTATTTGCAAAGATATAGAAAAGAATCCATATCTGCATGGACTAATGGGTCCTCTAACATCTGTGGTCATTGAGGACAATCATATTTCCTTCACAAGGTTGTGATAAGACTTTTGAGAGACTAATTACTTCAACCACGGAGGACAGTTCCCTGCAAACAGTGAACGCCTAATGAAATAGTTATTATTAGTAACAGACCAATATCTAATCAGTAATTCAGGCTTTTGTGGTGTGCCTAATCCCGGGGCCCTGAGCCCTGCCATGCCTGCTTCTTCTGGAAGCTGGTCGGTCCCATGCAGTGAGTTTGCAGTAAGGTTTGTCTTAGGTAGCTATGATGTGGGCACTGGGATGTTTACTAATAACAATAAATGGAGCAGCATTTATTTCAGCTGGTAAATATGCTCATCCAAGACAGACTCAGAAGCAATGTGGGTCTTTCTTCTGCTCCCCTTTGGGTCACTTGCGAGGGACATGATCTTGCCAGGACCTGGCAGCAGGAGCCTGAATCCCCCTCTCTCAGACGCTGATGTGCTATGTGAGCTCATACAAAGCATTTCCTTTTTCTGCGTCTGTTTTTGCAATAATGGGAATGATAACACCTGCCCACCCTATCTCCCAGACAGGTCGAGAGGCATGAGTCCATTTAAAGATACAGACAGAGACTTTGAACCCTCGCAGATAGGCATCTCATCAATACAAGGGTTTCGCCAGCTATTAAGACTGTCTTTCTTTCTCAGGTGTTCCATTGTAAAGATTTCTGGTTGGCACTTCATCTTTTTTCCCGTCCTTTTTAAAGGATAAAATTCATTTCTAACTACCTTTTGAAAGCCAGTGTATCTTTTGGCCATTTGATTAATAGGAGTGGGGCTGACCAGCTTCCCAATCAAAGTGCTTTTAAATAATTCAATGCCCAATACTAAAAGAGGAGAGTGGCGGCCTGACGTGGTTTACTCTCCACGTCGTGGAGAAAATTCGAGCTGCCCTTCCACCCAGATGGCTCCTTTGCCTCCACTCTCTCCCTCTCCCTCATGCAGACCCCTACCAGCCCCACGATGGCTCTGCAGTTTGTGCGTAAACAGAAGAAAACAGCCAAGGCAGGGCCCGGGGCTCAGCTCACAGACCCCAAGGAAGAGACATCTTTTCTAATTGGTCTGCGCAGAGGGGGTGTCTTTTTCGGATCTGCACAAAGTTGCTACATAGGCTAACAGGGATCTGCTATTGAGTGAAAAACACTGGGAAAACACAAAGCCAACCCGCATCCCTGCACAGACTCCCAGGACCTCCCTGCAGACACCTGGATGGAAGTGACCACAGGCACCTCCCCGTTCTCAGGGAAAGAGGGCTGAGCTGTGGTCCTGGGTCCTTCAGCAGCACTGTGCCTACAGCTCTGAGGCCGTGGCCTCAGGCCAGGGGGCCCACCTGGGGGTGGCCCGGCGCAGCCTCCCGCGGGAATGGAAGCTTCGATTTACTTCGGTGTTCTCATTTCAAAGCCTGCTGTGTAGCTTCCATGAGAGATGTGGCCATTGCTTCCCTCCCTGGCCATTCCCTGTCCGCCTTTACCCCTTCCCAGTCCTGTCCCTTTGCCACGTTCCCACCTCCCCCACCCCACCACATCTTCCTCCTCTCTCCTTCCCTCACACATCTGTGATGATCTCCTTGCCTCAGTATTCCTATTTGCTTTACCTTTTAAGCTCTCTGGCTTTCTGGTTTACCACCTTCCTCCAGTTTGAAGGGCATGATGAATGAAAGTATAGATGTGTGGCTTTTTCTTCTTTCTTCTACTCCAAGTGCTTCAAAGGCAAAGTCCTACCGTATTTGGTATGTTCTCCCAAAATGAGGCCAGGGGTCCCCAGAATCATACATATGATGATGTTGGTAATGGTGCCACCGGGCAGTCCCTGGCTGTGGGACTCCAGATCTGGCTGGGCCATTCTGGGACCTGGTGGCAAAATTCAGATAACACTAACCGGACTTGGAAACAGGAGGGTGAGTGCTGGTATTAGGCACGGTTGACATCTTAGTCTTCAATAGAATATGTTCTGAGGAATATCTGAAGGTCTACTCTTCTCATCGAGTCCTTCCATGTTAAAAAAAAATTGTCTTATTTTACAATTGATTTATCACACGTTTTGGTGACTTCATTCATCAGATTGTAGAGACTGAGAGGGACATTTCAGTCCAACTAACAATGACCTGTTTTACCAGAATGTAAACTTCTAAGGGCAAAAACTGTTCTCTTTTTCACAGCTGTCTTCCCCACCATTGCCTGGCAGAATACCCAGCACACAACAGCTTCTCCATAAAAGCCTGTGGAATAAGTGAATGAATGGATGAAAGAATGAGTGAGTGAGTGAATGAGTGAATGAATGAATGAGTGGGATGAGTGAGTGAATGAATGAATGGATGGATGAATGAGTGGATGAATGATAGGAGGAGTGAATGGATGAGTGAATGAATGAATGAATGAATGAGTGAGTGACACGAGCTAAATATGGTGCCGAACACCATTGCTCACCACCACGAGGAGGCTGGTGCTTGTGCTGGAAGCCACACAAGGGCACACCTCCAATCTGTTAGAACTGCTACAATCGTGTATATGTAAAGTCTTACAGGAACATGAACAAGGAACGGTAACTTCAGCGGGGGGGGAAAGAGAGAGAGAGGGAGGCCTGGATAGGCATCTTTGCAAGTCACACATAAAAATTTTAACCGAAAGAAAAGCATTTTTAATTTGGGGGATAAATTATTTATAACACAATTCTCAAAATACAGTTAAAAACTGGAGAACCAAGCATATGGCAAGCCATAGGGACGGGCAGAGGGAGAGCTGCTCCTTATGGCTGTGGTCCTGGCCGGCAGTCGCCAGGCCCTTGCAACGGGGAGGTCTGCTCTCCTGGACTAGCTCTCCCAGAGCGGAAATACACTGCACATCGCCTCTTCTCCTTCCTTTCTCCTCAATCAAAACTGTGAAAAGACTTCAGGAATCAGCTTTGTTAGTCAAATGGGCGTGCTTGCATTTTTTTTTTTTTTTATTCTTATTCGAGCCTATGGTAATCCAAAGCATGGGAATCACTTCAGGATGCTTAATAAAAATGACAATCCCGGGGCGCCTGGGTGGCTTAGTCAGTTAAGCATCTGACTCTTGATTTCGGCTCAGGTCATGATCTCAAGGTCGTGAGATCGAACCCTCTGTCGGGTTCTGCCCTCAATGGGGAGTCTGCTAGACATTCTCTCCCTCGCCCTCTCTCTGCCCTCCCCCTCACACACTCACTCTCTCAAAATAAATAAATAAAACCTTAAAAAAAAAATGACAATCACTGGGCTTCACCCTAGACCTACTGAATCAGAATCCCTGGAGATAGGGAGGGCCCCGGGAATCTGCATTTTATGGACTAAAGCACCTAAAATATATTTTTTTCATTAATTGACTTGAGAGCATATCCTTCTAGTCCTTTTTCTGTGTATTCATAGTCAAAGACACATTTATAAAAGGATGCGGCATTCTTTTCTAGTTCTTAAACATAAATTAAGTGGTATTGCTCTAGGCATGTCATTCAGCTCCTTCTTTTTGGACTCGGTAAGAGCATTCGCCAAAAGTTTTGTGTCAGGGTGATGAAGCCCATCACATTCTTTTAAACTGTGGTTAAGTATACGTAACATGAATATGCTATATTTTATTTAGCTGCCGGTGAATGTTTCTTTTTTCTCTTTTTTAAAAGATTTTATTTATTTATTCATGAGAGACAGAGAAAGAGAGAGAGGCAGAGGGAGAAGCAGGCTCCCAAGGAGCAGGGAGCCCGATGCGGGGCTCAATCCCAGGACCCTGGGATCGTGACCTGAGCCGAAGGCAGACGCTTAACCATCTGAGCCACCCAGGCGCCCAACTGCCGGTGAACGTTTCAATCGTTTATAATTTTTTTCTGCTCTGCGACTGTGAATTTGCAAAGAGTGGGTCCCCATGCATCTCTGTGACTGTTTTTTTCAGCCTTTGGATCCGTTTACTGGTGCTGGCAGAGCAAAGAACCACACACAATAGAAGCTTCATGTCTCACAGTTGCTGAGGCAGGAAGTCCCGGATGAAGGCACCAGAGAAGGACCTTGTCTAGGGCTCTCTGGTAGCCTCTGGTAGCTCCTTGGCTTGTGGGAATATAACTCCAGCCTTCACCCATGCGGGGGTCTCTGTGTCTACTTTCCCTTTTAAAGGCCCGCTCTACTCCATATGACCTCATCTTCACAAATTACAACTGGAATGACCCTATTTCCAAACAGGTTACATTCTGAGGGGCTGGGGGACTAGGACTTCAACATACGAATTTTGAGGGGTCACCACTCACCTCACAATGGGCCTTCATCTCTAAACTTCCGTGGCCAGGCACCCCTATCAGTAAAACACATTTTTGAGCAGGTACCAAAACTAGATGTGCATTTAAATCTTTGTAAATTACATGGATGTACTTTTATACCAGTGTGTACATTATCCAACTTCCTTAGGTCAGCTCCCCAGGAAACAGATGCTGAGGCCCTGAGATTTGCATGCAGGAATTTTAGCAGGGAAAGTAGGGCAGGCAGACAGAAGGTCAACTGCAATGCACTTGCTAAAGAGTGCTGGTCCCTCAGGAGTTCAGGGGCTGGGATGGCCCTTTAGAGCCATCTAGAATTGAGGCAAGGGACGAGGCCAACCTCCATACTGGCCAATCATTAGGTACAGGTTGCCCAGGACGGGCGAGGTAGCTCCCCGGGCAGAGGGCAATTCCGCAGATGCTCAGCTATGAGCCTTTATGAGCCTTTGACGGCCAACCTTCCTACCAGCTGGGGACAGCCAGTGCTTTTGTCCTAAAAGGGCATTTAGTTGGTGCTCTATAGCTCTCTCCACAAAACAGACTCTCAACAAGAAATTAAAGAGGATGACATAAAGTTAAACATAAATAGAAGTTATCATACTTTCCCAATACTCAATGAGTCATGCATGTCCCCTGAGATACACAGAATCCACTTTCTAGATCACCGTTGGGTCACAGAAAATATGCATCTTAAATTTTAATGAAAACTGACAACCGTCTTCCTAAGTGGCTGTCCCACATCACTGTCCCATCGGGAGTGTGTACAACGGTCCCCATGTCATTTCCTCCTGTCCTCAGCAACACTTGATATCATCAGACTTCTTAAAAGTTTTACCATCTAGACATCTCTTCAATTTAATATGTGTTTCCTGATTCCTAGAAACGTTGGAGTTCTTTCTCTTTCATGGATTATGTATTTATAAATTTTGCCCCTCATTCTTTTGAGTTCTCTTTTTCTTACTACTTCATGGGCATTACTTATATCCTTGAATATGAACTTTATTTCCTTCTTAGGCAGAGTAAAACCTGGTAGCCATACCCTTATTCTTTCCCTCTCTAGTTATCCTCCTGTCTTCATGGGAGGAGTATGTGCATGAGACTAACCAGAAGCTCTGGGATCATCTGCTTGGAGCTGAACGACTTGGGTCCAGTCCTAATGGTGTTCACACACCAGTTATGTGCATGTAGGGCGTTGATTTCATCTCTCTGATCCTCAGTTTTCCCGTGAGAAAAATGGGAATAATCTCAATTCCCAGGGTTGTTTTGAGGATTTAATGACATTAGGCATGTGAGAGTCTTTATCACGATGGCTTATTTTTTGGTCTTTTTTATAAAGATATCAAAGTCTCTATACATTCCCTTCTTTCTGCCTAGGGTCCATCCATTCGTTCATTTATTACCCACTAAATAATAACTTATTAATGCTAACAACCCACTGTGCTAAACATTGGTGGACAATATGGGCCCCATCCTGGAAGTGAGCAATGGGGAAAAGAGATTTTTTAAAGAAAGAGCTTACTTGCTAAAGATAATGGAGAAATTCTACATTCCTTCTTCTTGTGTTTCACTCTTGGAATCAAAGGGAAGTACTCGAATCCTTCCCAAATTCAAGCTAGGGGAAGAGAACTGTATTTGCAGATACCCTCTATCCCCTGTGGTGAATCAGAACTTGACATTCCCTGACCCGTGCCTTAGCCCTGCTATAAAAGGCATGGAGGGGAGTCCGCCTCCAGTTTCCCTGTAGCAAACAGTGAATGCAGCCTGGCCATCTCCCTGGCTCTCTCTGTTTTTGTTTTTCTGCCACTGTTTTTCTGTGGCCAGGAAGCTGGGTTGCGTCAGGGGATCTGCATGTGCTCTGCGGGTCCAGTGGCATCTTTCTCTCTCTGGGATGAAGAAGAGACAGACTCAGCCTCGAAAGGAAACCATGTTTTCCAGTCATGTTCTTCTCAGCCTTACCTGTTTGGTGAGCAGGATTTGGTCCATCTTTGAAGATAAGATGACTTTCCCAGTCCTCTACTGGTCTTCAGTTCAAGCTCCACTCGTTGTAAAGGCATGGTCTGTTCAAGAAATGGTGAACAATTCCATGAAATTGAAGTTTCAGTAAGTCAACTGGGTGAAAGCCCTGGGAAAGTAGGTTCCAAGCCCAGTGGGGATGCGTTTGCATGCCAGACATTGTAGTAGTGGAGATCAGTATTTAAAATAGGACAGTGCCATGCTTAGATGTGATTTTTCAGAAGGCAAAGACAACATCAGTGTAATGGAGTGACAGGTGGCAAGAAGCTTCCTTGGATGGCATATCCTTCTCCCTTCCCCGGGGCCCACTTCTCTAGCCCACCACCACGCTCTCCTTATCTGAGCAATCCCAGGACTATCTGAAATACAGTGCAATTAAGCCTGCCAACTCTTGCTAGCTATCTGACCATAAGACTAGGAGACACGTACTTACCGGGAAATCACGTATAACAAACTGTCAGTCAAGAAAAGAAATACAAAAGCAGGATTTGCCTATGCAGCTTCAGCTCCATTTTTCAGATGTCTTTCATTTGGGTCCTTTGCTCACAATGGCTGAAGCTGGGACTATGCTGTCCAGGCACCTCCCGCATGGCCTCTGTCTCCCACTTTCCCCAGCTGCCCCATTCAACTCTTTCTTCGGAAACTTTGCTTTCTTCTGTTTTCCTTTCCCTGTGACCTTTTCCCATCTCCTATTTGCCTATCACTCACTGTTTAAAATGTAGGTTTTACTATTATTCACACATGGTGAGGCCAACAGATGAGGAGATGCTTGCCATTGGACAGAGAGCTTGTTACGGTTCCCTGGAAGAGGGGACATGCCATGCCACAGGGTGGGGACCAGGGGAGGTCACAGGGGAAGCTGCAGAAATCTGTTAGGAGACAGAAAGAATAGGGGAAAATGTAGACATACACCTTTATTGTGGTTTCTGCCAGGAGAAATGGGTGAGGCAGGGTAAGCAGGTTTAGGATTGGCTAGTTTGAATAATTTCAGTGGGCTCTGAGGCAGAGGGCCTGTCCCCAGCTGTTCAGCACCCAGCTGTCTTCATCAGTTTGGGCTGCTAAAACACAATACCAGAGAATGGGTGACTTAAACAAACATTTCGCTCTCACAGTTCTGGAGGCTGGAAATCTGGCATCAGGGGGCCAGCAGGGTTGGGTTCTGGTGAGAGCCTCTTCCGGGTTACGGACTGCAACCTCACTGTGTCCTCACTGAGCAGAAAAGAGAGCAAACGAGCTCTCTGCCCTCTTCTTCCAAGGACACTAATCTCATTCGTGAGGGCCCCACCCTCATGACCTCATTACTTCCCCAAAGTCCCTCCGAATACTATCCCATTGAGATTAGAATTTCGGCATATGAGTTTTGTGGGGACACAAACATTTAGTCCATGGTACTGACCATAGGAGGCTGAGGGCAAGTGGATAGTGGCCCAGAGTGTGAGAGCCCCATAGAGGACATGGGTGGGGGCGTGGGCTCTGGACTGGTTGGTTTGCACATGTAAGGCATGCTTACTTGTGGGTGACTTCTTTACTATCTGCAGGAATCGGCCTGTCCTGGAAGGAGCAGTCCCTCCAGCCCAGCAATGCCCCATGATGTCAATAAAAATAGTCAGAATAAAAATATATGATGACTACACTCATATACTTAGCAGAAGGCAAAGACTTAGCAGAACTTTTGTTCATTTGACGCCATTTGCACACCCCTTTATGTACCACTGTCTTTTCCTTTCTCTGTGTCTTTCCTGTTACTGGTCACAAAGTTAATTCTCTTTTAGAGCATCTTTTTTTGCAGCCAACTCATGCCCTCCACCTCCATGCTACCTCTTCTGTTGCATGTCTCATGCTGAGGGTCCGATGCTTCTGCCAGCTCACCCCACCATGCATTCCACCTGCCTCAGGTCAGGAGTCTTGATTTCATTTCGGCCATAACTTTACCCTACACTCAGATTACCTCCCTCGGTCACCAAGTCTTTGCACTGGTCCAAGCAGAGGACAGTGTTAAGGTTTCTATCTTCACAAAGAATGGAATGCGTGTGCAGGAAAGCCGATTGTAAAATTAACTGTAATTCATACAACATGGGATCGAAATTCTTAAGCTACTGTTCTTCCATTAGACAGAAAATGTCCTTAGATCTTGAAAATGGAAGTCTCCTGTAGCCTGTGTATGCAGATCCACACTTGATGTAAAAACACATCTGTCCTTAATTCGTAAAGGCATTGGAAAGATACCTTTCCCTTAGTTTACAGCACCGCCTGTGTTTTGTTGCTTTTTCTACCAAGATAATTTTCATTCATTTCCTTTAGTTGTAAGGCCTCTTACCCTTCCTTCCGGTGCTCACTCTCCTGGACTCCATCAGAAGCCCTTTTTTGGACTAACTCTGTAAGACTCAGTTCATAGAGCTGTGACTGTGTCCTGCGGCCAAATGTTTTCTTTTCTCCTTTTCTGAATTGTAAGTCTTAATGCTCAAGCTTATGTCTAAGACTTTTATCCCACTGTAGAAAGTTGAGTAGCTGATTTCAGCTTTCAGTGCCTTGTATTTATGCCCCACACAATTTGGGTTTCTTCTTGCTTTCTTCTTAGAGTAGATGCTACTTGAAACAGGGATCATTGCTGGGGTTTTGGTTGGAATCACCCAGGGCCCAGTTAAAAGCAGTTCTCTGCACAGAATGAGTATTCAATAAATATTAACTGACTCGTGGTGACAAAGCAAATGAAGATGCACTCGTGGTTGATAGAAACACGAAACTGTGGTTCTCTTCTCTACTCTTTCTCGATATTGGAGCCCTAATTGAGGGTTATTTTTTCTTTCCCAAGTTATATTAGTTATTTTCCAGGAACCTTCCCTTAGGCAATATATTTCACAGCTTAGATATTTTCTTCAGATGTTGGAAATTACTGGACATGTAAAAACATATATGAACCTGATGTGGTTAAACAGCCTATTATAATAAGAAGCCAATTATTCCGCCCAATACCAATGCATATTAACATTGTATTATGTGAGAATATTTAGGTATGGGTCCATGTATACATACATCCATTAAGTAGTAAAATACCTAAATTAAAAATGGCAAGCTGAAAAAAATTCTGAGTGCAAAGGTGTGATTGCTTTGGAATAGGCAATTTAGAAAAAGGGTTTGGTCCTTAATTGGCCAAGTTAAACAAGGCACAATTACTACTAACTTGGTCCCCAAAGATTGGCTGTAATCGTGTCATGTTTAACTTGGCTGGTTAAATTACAAATAGTGTTCTCCTTTTTTGATCTGGTTCATTTGGCTAATATAATGCCTTTCTATGGCTGACTTTTTCTTTCCTGACTTAGCCCTTTCCGTGAATAGAAAATCCATGGATTAGGAAATATTTGTACCTATTTTTCTTAACAGCAAAATGTATACGTGGTTGTTGTTTTTTAACGAGCTTCTGATGCAACTTTATAAGCACAGGTTGCGCAAAAGTCAATGGCTTATCATAAAATTAGTGGATTTGTGTCAATGCTCTTTATAAACTTGATACCTTAAAACAGTCTTGCCCATTTTTGTTTTGCTTTATGTTTCAGGTGAAGAAAAAGAATGTTCTTTTTGTACTAACTTTAACTTCTTCTGTTGCTGAGAGATGAGTAGCTGAACTTATACATTCAGTGTTCAATTAGCCAGCTCACAGATCCCATACAGATCCACAAGGGCACAGGGAAGGATGGTCAAATATTTATCTCAATTTCTCTCTAAGTGCATCAGAATTCAGAGAAGGCCAATTTCTTTGTTCAGGATGGTCGGTCCCAATGCATAGCAGATGAAAAGGGCATCTAATTTCACATGTAATGCCGTGGAATCCATCTACTTAAAACAGGGAATCAGTTTCTCTGGTAGAGAAACATACATACACATGTGTTTGTGTTAAGCATGCATTTATTTACTCAGAAACAATAAACATTTAGGAGTGATTCTAGTGTGCCAGGTTCTATATTAGGCTCTAGATACACAGAAATTAATAAGACACAATTTTTGCCTTTAAAAAGCCTATGGCATATACTCTATGCTTTTGTTGGGTTAGTTGCAAGTGTGCAAATCAGAAGCAAAATGGCTTGATTCCAGATTTTAGTTCTTTACTCCTTTATTTTTTTTAATTCATAACATAGGCTCAGTTTGTCTTCGGCATCTCTCTCCTGCAGATCACCAGCCAGTTGTGTTTGGCCTCCCTTCTGAGTACCAGCTCCTCTCCCAATTCAGTTTCCACCACTTTCTTGGTGTCTCCAACCTCAGAATGAACTCTTAGGAAAGAGCTAATTAGTCTATCTTGTTACAGCAAATGGTGTAATAAGAACGGTCTGTGTTACCTCTCCCATGGTTGTTTGCCTTGAGTCAGGGCCAGCAAAACCAAATGCGTAGATGAGAAATGGTTTTCAGATACCTTCAGGTGTGTTATTCACTTAAGCATAAGCTACAGAAACCAAGTCATTTTTTTTTTTATCTGAATTCGCTGCTTAAATTCTAATACTTTCCACATTTTCTATTCCCCCAAGTCAAGACCTGCTTTTAGGCCAAAAGGTATGCTGGGGACGTAGCAGGGTCAGGGGAAAAGATGCCCATAATATCCTACTCAGGTCTACAGATTGGGGATAGAGATGGTCTAGTCTGTACATTTATTATCAGAAGTAATATCCTGATGTGGTTTTCTGTGATGTGTTATTCTGAAGGAGCCAAGCTTGTGATCTAAAATGATAAATTCTCTGCATCAACATATTGCTCCATTGTAAAGTTTTGACTTTCATTAATGCATAAACAATAAAATGAATCTGTATGTAAAATGTCTGTTAGCCAAGTTGATCATTAAACATACAAGCAAGTGAGCCAACAAATAAAAACCGTTCACTACATAATGAATGGGGCATGTGGACCAGAAAGCCCAAATTTACAGAAGTTTTAGGAATATAGACTCTATACCATGAAAAATAATTTACAATTAAAGGAGAATTTTCCTTCTGGGATTCAGGAGAACGCATCTATGGGATATGTTGACATGTATGATAGGAATACCCAACACCAAAGG